GGGGGCGGTGAGCCGCTTGGGGACACCCGCCCGGAGCGCTCCGGTCTGCAGTCCGTGGCTGAACAAGGCTCGCACCTCGTGGCGCGGCGCCTGGGTGCTTCCCGGGCCCCACTCCCGAGAGCCGGGCTTGCGCATCCGGAGGCCGACACCTGCCACCCGCCGGCATGCGGCGGGACAGCGCCCCCTGGTCCTTCCCTCCCGCCGCGTGGCGCCATCGGGTGTGAAACAGGAGTGTCCAGACCTTCTGGCCTATGCGTCCGTCTGAGAGCGGAGGACGCGAACGGGCGTCGCCCGCCGGCCGGGGAGGCGCTGCGGGTGGGGGAAGCTCCGGCCTCCGTCCCGTTGGCCCTGGGAGGTGCTGGGGCTCCCGGCTCCGGGGGTCCTGGCCGCCGCGGACTGGCCTAGCTCCGAGCGCCTGTCCCGGTGCCGCTGGGGCCTTACGTGCAGCCGATAAGGGAGGCTTTGGCTTCGCGGGTGGTTAGGGGCCCGGGCCAGTTTCTGCGCTGCTGTGTCAGTCGCGCTAGGGGGCTGAGGACGCGCGGCCATCCGGCCGCCTACCAGTCCATCCCGGGTTCTACACCTGTTGATGGCCCTGTGTGTGAACGCACGTGTGTGCGTTTGAACGTGAGCGCACACGTCCCTGCGCGGGGTGTACGTGAATGTGCATTAGTACCAGTGTCTGTGTCCTTCCCCCACGTCCGCCGCAGTGCCTGTGTGCGCGCTGGAGCCTGAGCGCACCGAGTCCCCGGCGCGTGTGCTGCCTGTGACCACTCTGTCCCACTCACTGCTGCTGGCCTCCTAGACCTCTTACCTCCTGGGGGTCGCCGGAGTCTGTGCCCTGCTTCGTGGTCCCAGGGCCCCGCACATTCAGTTAAGCCCGTCTTGGCCGGTTTGTGCACATTTTGGAGAGGAAATTGGTGGCAGTGGTCTCTGGACCCCTTTGCTCGGCTCGCCCTGAGCCCGTGGCTGCCTCTGACTTCTGGCAGCCCGGCGGTGCAGGCTTGCTGGGCAGACACGAAGCACCCTCGGGCTGTGAAGGGCCGGCTCTGCCTCCATCGCTCACTCTCTTTCTCCCCTCTTCCTCATATTCATTTATTTGAAAACACTCTTTAGAAGTGGGAGAAATTTTACAAAAAGTCTTGCACTGGGAAGTGGGCTTATGCCCCTCCCCGCCCGCTCCCCCACGAAGTTCCTAACTAGTGTCTACCTCAGCCAGTCCTCCTGGGGCTCACTGGGGCTGGCAAAGGTTCTGCAGGAGGCAGAGAGTCCCTTTGTCCTGAGGACTGGGCATTGCACGCTTGGTAAACAGGGGATCTCTAATTATCGCTAATTGTGTCAAAGGTAACATGCAAGGGCATCAGGTTTTCCACGTCTAATTACCATCACGTGAGCACACCCATGGCTCTCTTTCTGTAAGTTCATCAGATGGAATGAAAGAAGAACGACTGGTAAAAAAGGATTCACTTTTGGAATTCTTTTATTCCCCTTTTGGAATACAACCAAAATCCATCTTTCGTGTCATGAAGAAGTGATAGCAATATCCTTTACATTGATGAAGGTTTCCCAGGTGTTTTAGCCCCTCACTGAATCCAATGCTCATCCTGGATGACACAGATGAAGGGCATGCACCAGCCTGGGTGCGAGGTTGGGGGCTGAGAGGAAGGAATTGGATGGACTGGGTAGAGAAGGGTCACAGAACACATGGAGCCCATTTGTGATTTATAAGATGTGTGTATTTGGTCTCTTCCAATTTCTGGCACAGAACTCCCCAAAATTGGAATTTCCTGAGTGCTGAGAGCAATGAAGTTACCTTTCAGTATGTTAATGTGGTGGCTTTACACCCAACGGGAGACCAGTTGCCCAGGGATCTAATCCTGTATTTGTGCTGTGCTGAGTTGCTCAGTGGCATCTGACTCTCTGTGACCCCTTGGACTATAACCGGCCAGAAGCTGCCATAATTCCAAGAATTGGCCTCAAAGAAATGGGAACCAACAGACCCCGGAGCTGAAGATTAACTGTACCTAAAACAATGAAGATGATGCTGATTAGACCACTGGTGACCAATTTCAAGATGACTGTGAGAGCTGACTGTGCTGTTTCTGCACATAGTCCCCTTCTGTCCAGAAAACCTCTTGTCCCACTGGTTGCTAGTGGTGGGGGGAGTCAGCATTTGGACAGATGTCCACCCCACCCCACCTACAGTTGCCCGAATCAGAAGTAAAGCAAACTTTCCTTTCCACCAACCTGGCCTGTTTATCGGTTTTTGGGCAGTGAGGAGCCCGACCCCACCATACACCTCTAGGTATCCTGACTGGTAAATGCTGGTCATCTTGTCTGTCCAGGCGGGTGTCCTGTGTTTGGCTGTCCTGTATCCCTGGGCCAGGGGTCCCCCCTCAGGAATGGAGAGAAGAGGAGGTGAGGAAGCGCGTGTGCAGACTTCCTTTTCAGGTTTTGTTTTCTGGACTTTGGCAACTTTGTAAAATTAACTGGAAAGACTTCCAAATGATTTCCTTGCTCTGGAACATTTGGAACACGTGGCAGTTATCTGGGCCTCCCAAGTATGCGGAATCATTCTAGAACATAAGTGTTTTCATTCCCAGTGTTTTTTCCATCTCTGCCTCCGGAATTCACCTGACATGTACCCTATCTGGGCTTTCCGGGTGGCGCTTGTGGTAAAGAGCCCACTTGTCAATACAGGAGATGTAAGAGATGCAGGTTTGACCCCTGGGTCGGGAAGATCCCCTGGAGGAGGGCATGCAACCCTCTCCAGTGTTCTTGCCTGGAGAACCCGGACAGAGGAGCCTGGTGGGCTACAGTCCGTGGGGTTGCAGAGTCGGACGTGACTGAGCAACTAAGCATAGCAGGGTGTTTAGCATTTAGATAGGTCAGTATAGAGTTTAGGTAACTCTGATATTACAAAATGACAAAAACCATTATTGAAAAATAAAAGGTATATTCGTGTGTATGTCTAAGTAAGGTTGATAAAAATTCTACTCTACAGGTGAGATGACTAAACTCTAACATACACTGCTTTCTTTGTAACTGAATATCAGGGAATTAAGGTAAAATCCCTTTTGAAAAAGTGAAAGTAAATACTGGTGATAAAAATAACAAGACGTGGGAAGAGAAAAGTAAAGACATTTTTAGTATTAAGAAAAGTAAAGAGATTTTGAATATTTAGAGAACAGCAACAGAAAAATAAAAATCAGGCTTAGGTGTGACAACCCAAGATATAAAAAAAATCAGTATACACGATAAATTAAATTTGCTTATTATAAAACAAGATCTTAGATTTTGTTATGGAAGTAAAATTCGGTCATGTACTCTTAAATGTACACATGTACTGCAAAGGAAAACTGAAGAACTGAATGAATTGTCATTTTCATATTAAATTATTTATCAGGTAAAATGGAGAATGCCAAAATAAGATGTTAGATGTGTTTCCTATCCTATAGAAGACTTCACTTTCCCATCTGTGTAATGGACATGATAAAAATAGAACCTACTCCAAAAGGTTAGTATGAGAACAGAATAAGTGAATGTTTACAGAGAACTTAGAACAATGCCTGGAATGTAGAAACTGATATTTAAGTCTAACAGCACTTTAACTTAAATGCATTTTAGTGCACGTAAATGAAAAATAATGCGTATTATTTTAAAAAATAGAACAAATGAGGAAAAAAAAAACCAGTTGGCAGGATCAGACTAGTATAGAGCAAATTCAACATGAGCATCAACATTCCCCTTTCTCCAACCGTTGCGTCCAAGCCCAGTTGATTTACATGGGAAATAGTTGCAGTGATCCTTCCAGAATAAAGATTGCATCTCTTGAACAGAGTTCAGTATTTCTGCAGCCCCAAGACCAAGAATTGCACAGCAAATCTGATGTGACAAATTGGATTCCTTTTTCCCATATCACGTCTCATTTGTGGAGATTTGGATAACTGGAAAAAAACTGCGCATCTGACTCACACAAACTATGGGGAAAGAGAATCCAGTCTTTCTCTTTGCTAAAGGATCTGGGAAAAGTCTGGGTAATTCTCAGAGATGAAGAATGCCATCTATAATGTTGTGAACACCCCAGTTTGTGTTTAATTTAATGCCCTGGGTCAGATTCAAGTGGGAAACCATGTCTTGGACAACTAATTAACATCATGATTCTGTGATTGAGCAATTTTAGTTCAGCTGTCTCATTCTATCTTCATGAGATGAAAAAAAAAATACAACTTCTCAAGCTACAAAATTTCAAATTGGTAACCACATGACACTAATTTACAGATAGAGACCAGAGTATTTATTGGTACTTTATTAAGGTTGCTTTTATGAACAAAAACAACTGTGGGTCTGTAAAGTCACTAAGATACAAAACTTTCCATTAACTCCTGATAAGTGAGCAATCCTATGTTTGGGGAAATTTGGATTTGCAATGACTACTACTTAATAATGCAAATAAAATCTTCTCGCTTGCTGGCTTTCTTTACCCATTCCCTCCAAAGAACCAATGAGTTTGGTTAATGTCTCTAAAATATCTTTGAGTCACACCTCCAATGTGATAGGAAAGATTGAGGGGAGGAGGAGAAGAAGGGGGTGGCAGAGGATGAGGTGGTTAGATAGCATCACCAACTCAATGGACATGAGTTTGAGCAAACCCCAATAGATAGTGAAGGACAGAGAAGCCTGGCATGGTGCAGTTTGTAGGGTCACAAGGAGTCAGACATATCTTAGTGTCTCAGCAAAAATGAAAACAACCAGTGTGATAAGCGTACAAATCTGATGGCATCCTTCAGCAAAATTTGGGATTCAAAAATAAACTTGATACATAATAATAATGAAGAATTAAATCAATAGAAATGCAGATTATGCTTTTTCAAACTGCCTTTAACATTCAGCAGCCCCTCTTAGCAGGGACAGGCATGGGTTTAGACACTGGAAAGTCCGTTTGTAGAAAGAAAGCACTGTTCTCACATTCTCCTGTCCATTCATGTCTGAAGATGTGCTCACAAGTGCCTTTCTCTGGTGGCGCAGCTGGTAAAGAACCCGCCTGCAATGCAGGAGGCCGGGGTTTGATTCCTGGGTTGGGAAGATCCCCTGGAAAAGGGAGAGGCTACCCACTCCAGTATTCCGGCCTGAGAATTCCATGGACTGAATAGTCCATGGGGTCTCACA